AAAAGGAAATGACTCTTGAGCAGAGAAGTTTTGCTTTTCCCCTCTCTTGCATTGTAATTCTCTGTCCAGCCCTAAAGTGACTACTAAGCTAAAGGAAATTAAAGAAAAGATGAATAGAAAAAAATTTCAAGCTGGGTCAAATTCATCCCCAGTGTAACTTAGCTCAAGTAGAGTTAAATCAATGGAGTTCCACCAGGGATGAATTTGGCTTATTGTCAAAAGGAAATGAAGCAACTGTGCCCTCATTTACAGCTATCAGCTTAAACAGAAATTTCATTATAAGGGAATTTCTGAAAACAATTCCTAGGTAAAAGAAAATTGCTAAGGTTGAATAGCATGTGTGTTTGAAAATTCCCTGGAGACCAAAACTGTCTGCTTACTAGGTAGATACACAATGCCAGCTAATTGAGAGCTCACATTGTTCCAAAGGTCTTAAAAAAATCAGAGGAGACTATAAAATGAATAAGCAGATTGACTTATGAAATCTTCTTTCTTTGTTTTTCCTATAGTGAATTTTAAATACTCAACTGCAAAAACAGTGTTAAATTAAAAGTGGGAGGGCAATTGCAGATAAAAACAAAGTCAGTAATAGAACTTTTGGTTACCTTCATATTCTTTATTTTATTTTCCCAATTTAGTTGTAAAAGTAAGGTAGAATTTCTTAAGCTGCACACTTCTGCCATTTATGTTCTCCAGAGTATGATCTGAAGAGATCCTGTGAAGCTCTTCTTTATTTTCAAATAAAATACTGAATTAAATCTTACATTTAATACTGACATTTCCAAATAGATTCCTTCCTATATATTTTATTGTAAAGCTATAATATCATTAAGATGTAGTTCTTTTTCTAAGAGGAATTACGGATGAGAGTCCAGTGATCTGTTATAGGTTAAGATAAAACTAGGTTTAAAACACCCCAGTCTTGACTTTACAATTTTGGTTTTGAATTAGCAGCAAAAGTTTCAATCAGAATGCAAAATATTTGCAAAGATTTTACACTTGTTGCGAGGGATGTTTTGAACACCTTTAGAAACAGCCTAAAAATTGTACGTGATGTGATAATGCAGAATATATTTCACATTAAAACCTATGAATGCAATGATGCTAGAACTAAACATATTTTCCAAGATGCTTTTTTTTCTTAAAATGCTGAGGATTCTGAGATGATGATATTTTGTGAATGTGCCATGACCACAACTTAGCTTGTCCTTAAAAATACCTGCTCCTTGAAGGCTTGTGAAAATCCTGATCTGAAACCTTAATCTAATTGTCAGTAACTTTGAGCAAGGGTCAGCTTCAGGTTGACAACACCACCAGAGGCAAGTCCATCAGAGTCACCTAACCTAAAAGGTAACTTTTAAAAAGCTTCAGCTGCTTTAGAACTGCATATGGAAAAGATATTAATTCAGCCAATTCTGATGAAGTAGGAGTGCTGAGTATATCCTGAATGTTCTCACATAGCAAATGCCAAAGAAAATACTCTTCAGACTTCTTAAGAGCAGGTAATAAGTCACTGGAAGAAGCCATTTTTCTCAGGCCTATGTCTTATATAATCCAAGGCCTTGGTAAGGTACTTGGATAATATTAGCAGAAATGAGCATTAACTCATTTTAGGCTAGATGACTTTCTCTAGCCAGCTAATGCTGCAAGAGTGGTACAAGGAAATCAAAGGCTCTATTAGTTGTTCACATTCACAGGCTAGCTCTAAGGCTTCAAATCAGGACAATCCATTTAAATGTGTTTATGAATAACACTGCTCACCTGTGTCACAGCGTATGTTGCAGTTGAGGCAGCCACAGTACACAGAGTGTCACCATACAATATCAGAAAGCTTCAGCCCATGCAGAGTAGCACCATATCCCATCAGAAGGCTTCAGGCACCTGCCCATACAGGGTAACATCACACCACTTCAGAAGGCTGCAAGTGTCTGCCCTTCTTGTTCTTCAACCCAACCCTCATGTTGATGCACTGCACCTGCTCCCTTTGGTGCTGGTCAGTGCCCTGGGCACTCCCTGGCTCATTGCTGTCACTGCTGCTCACAGCTGTGCCATGGGGATGAGGCTGGGCCAGCCCCACCCCAATCACCACACTCTGTGCCTACACACCTGTCTCTCAGAGTTAGCACAGGCATGGTCCCATAGTAAGATTTTTAAATGCTTGTTTTCTCACAATAATATGTTATGTATTTTGTTTTATTCCCACTACTAGGAGTAGAAAAAAATGGGGAAAATAGATTTTAACTAAATAGCAGAAAAATATTAGCCAGTGAGATGTAACAGTTACCACTTGTACATATAAAACCACTGAAAAAAGCAAACTTATGTATTTCAACTGTTATACTATGAGCAAAGATGCAGAAACTTCACTTTAAAAACAAAAGGGGAGCATTTACTTATTTAGTGTCATCACTTGCAGTGCAATGAGATGGCAATTGAAGCAGACAAGGACACAACTAGAGATTTTCAGGAACAGAGGACAACAGCTAGCAGGCCATGCAAGACCCCTGACTTCTTATCACCTGATTTGCTGTCAGATTCTGCAGACTGAACCTGCGAACAGATACTCAAAATCCATGCCAAACATAAAGAGTCAATCTGGCTATATGGTCACACCTCTGGAAAGCTGAATTTCATCTCTTTCTTTCACATATGCCAACCATTTAACAAAGCAAAAAGACAGACAGATCTTCAGAATAAGGACAATAAAGTTTCCAAAAGTGGGCAAGCAGAGATTCATGTGCCAACTATCACACCACATTAAGAAGAAATATGTGGTAAGACTCAATGTGAGTCAGTATAAAATGGGCTGATTCAGAACTTCACCACAAAGGCTGCATCCAGCAAAGTTCTGCTGGGGGCAAACATTTCCCAACATACTCATACTTCTGGCAGGAATAAAAAATATTAATACATCCACTGGCAGCAAATGAACCCTTTTATTTTACAGAAAGCATTTTCAAAAGCACAGACAGGTTTGTTTCTTTCTTCTGTCCTATATAGGAGCAATGGTACACCAGCACACAGTGATTTTTTATCTGTAAAGATGTGAGAATTCAATACTCAGCAATCAAGTAATGCTCTGCTCAAAGAATAAATCTATTAAAAAGGGCTGCCTATCAGTTTTTCAAAACTTACTAACTCTAATTCTCATGGCTAACACATTGACTTCAAAGATACTCACAGTGTAAGGAAAATATTATAATAAACACTGTAAGACTCAGTCCTCAGAAAGAAGAAAAAGTGGCTTCAGTGGTGACATACTTTCAGCAATCCCATAAATCATTTATGCATGCAACAGATTCAATTAAAACCAATGTGCTCTAAAGTTAGGTTTGTGTATCCATAACAGCAGGATTTTCACTGAAGGTCATTTATCTTTGTGACATTGAAGTGAATTTCTAGTTTGGATCATTTCCTTGTTTCTAATTTTAAGGTTAGGGATTAACATTTTCAATACATGAAGTTACAAATGTAGTAAGCACAGCTTCTACAGGCATCTCCTTGTAAAAATATTTGCCTCCTAGTCTTCATTTGTGAAGATGTGATGTCTGACAAAAGGCAAAGGTTGTCTCAAGACTGAACCTAAGACTGAAGTTACAACCCAAGACTAAGACTGGAGTGGTTCCTTTGAAATATATATATTTTAAAATATTTTTAGTTTTGTAGGCAAATTTTTATTTTTAATAGCCTAGTTAAACTTGAGAGGCAAAAATGTGCCACATATGGAGAAGGGGGAACAAAGGAAAGAGAGTGGAACCTCTCCCTAGATTACTTTACTGTAACTTTCACCCTAAATGATAACTCATTTAAGAAATTCAGGTACAGTTCCCACTTAGGAAAGAACCAAGTATAGATAGCAACCCCAAATGTGAAAATTCTGCCATCTCTCAAACTAGAATTTTGACAGAACACATCTGAAAATAAAATGCTCTGCATATTTATAAAGAAAAATATGTTTGCATAAACAGTAATACACATCCATGCATGTTCTTAAATATCCTAATACATAATAATTATTCACATGTGTTATTTTGGATTTTCCAGAATTAGAGACATTTAGTGTGAATTCCCTTCAAGCAGATTTCAATTAGTGCTTTACCATATTTAATTTTAGGTACATAATCCCCCAAGTGAAAACTAAATCCAAAGTGGAAGAGAATTTATTCAAATTTCATTCCAAAAATATTTTTGCCTCCAAAGCCTTACTAGGAAGAAAACACTCCTGAAAATGATGCAAATGGTTTTGACAATAGGAAAAGTAAACAAACAAAATAAAGATGGAAAAATCATGCGGTCAGTTTGCAAGTGCTGTTTATTGTTTGAGGCAGGGTTAAAGCCTTTTATAAAGACAAGAACATATATGCAAACAGACTGAAAGTGACATTAGGTTGTTCTAAACACCCCCAAACAAATCCTGCTGCCTAAAACATTGCCATAGCCAAAATGTGTGGAGGCTTCAAAACAGGCATCATGACAGGAACAAACTAAGATTGCTGTTATTTTGGTAACCAAAACAGATGACAAGTGCCCTATTAATATTTTTGATTAAAGAAAAAGTCACGTAGTTTTCATTTATCTGGTATCTCCTCAGACTTGCAATGTGAATTGACCTTTCATTTGTAGTCAACTATGGCATTAGAAGAGGCATGACAAGTGGCTAAAATGTGCTTTCCAGACACCAATCAAACAGCTCAGAGCTCCATTTGAACTCCAAGTGGTGTGAACTGGATCGTTCTATGTTCATCAGTGATTTAAAGTGTCTGTTAAAGATTTATTATATACTTGCAGAGCGAGCAAAGGCTTCCGTTTACTGGGGCCTAAACTGCTGAGCAGCAGCAAGCTTTCCCTTGGCACCCAGCCAGTGCCTCACTATTTCATCAGTCACATCTGCTTTCACGACTGGCTTCCATGCTCAGTTCACTTCCACCTGTAATGCCAGCTGATGAAAGCCCCCAAGGTAGACAGTTTCTAAAGATTGGTATTTTTTTTTTTAACTAGGAAAGTGAATAAAGACCACCAAGTAATTTCAAAAAAACCAAGAACAGCTATGCACTGATCGCTTTCAACTGGGATCAATATGAATGGGTTTGGAACAGCCAAGAGGTCAGAATTTCTGCATATTGCTTGGCTAATCCCATTGTATCAAGTAGAATTTAACACAATATATGTGTGAAGTATGGGACATTATTTTTCTCCACAGTAACAAGTTAATGATTCTACATATGTCCAACCACTTTATCAGAAAAGCAGGAAATCTGTCATGCTTTTTTATTTTCTTGACTGAAAATTGGACAATAGCCTTTCTTACATAGAAGTCAAAAGGGATTATTCAGAACTCATCTCTCCAATATACCAGTAAACCTGCTAATTTTGTTAGTTCCACCAGTTACTTTTGTTGACTTTTTTCCCCCTTTATAACCACACCCATCTGGTGGCAGATTTATATAATTCCTTTTAAGCACATTTTTCCCCAAATTTAAGCATTTAATTCTAAATATAATCCCAAAAAGTTAAAAATAGCTTGTGCAATAAACCAGGAATAATACACATTGTCAACATCACTAATGAGGACTTCTTCCAAGTGTAAACAGTTAAGCTATGACATTATTTTACAACGTCAAGAAATGTTCACTTTTCTGAAGGTAAGAGCTAGTAAACCATGAGAAGTGATTCAAGAATTATAAAAATTTGTTTGTCTGGGAAATTGCTTAAGTCCTTTTCCTTTGCATATAAACATCTATACAAATTGACAGTGCTTTGCATGGCCAGAATGTTTTCAGAATATATATTTTTCCCTGTTGAAAGAAAAACTAATCCATCTAAGCTCATTTTGGGGTTGGGTGGGTGCACTACCAAACTGTGGAAGGATTTGTGTAAGCATGTATGAGATGATAGAAACACAAGCACTTAATTCACAGGGAAAAAAATAAGAACAGATAAGGGCTTTTTCATCTGAAATTACAGCCTCTCTCTTTTATAAACACGTTGATATCAGCATCCACTTTGGCTGAACAGGCCAGGCAGAGATAAGCGCGGTGCTTTCGCGGCGGCGCCGCGGATGGAGCGGGCTCAGTCCGGCCCCAGGTGGGACCCTGCTCTCCTGGAGCAGCACCCGGACCAGGCAATCCATCACCGCGCTCCTCCTGTCAGGCTGGGTGCTCGGCTGCAGCTGTCTGTCACACTGGTGGATGGGACCTGCTTAAAGGCAATCATGTCAATCTCTATGTGACTACTCAGACTAAGATAGAAGGATGATCTTGACAGGCTTGGCAAAGTCAGCAGAAGGCACTAGAGGACTTTAGTTACATGCTTAAAATGGAGATGTGATTTGTGCTTCTTATGTGGAGGGACTGAAGAGGCACAAAGCAGCGCTGTGTTTTATAGCTGGTCATCTCGGATGAATCTGTTGCCCTCAGAATGTTTTCCATAGTAAATGTAGCGACATTTCCCCAAAATGCCTACAATAAAGAGGAAATGAATTACAGTTAGGATTGAAGTAGAATAATATGCAATAAAGCACATAACTTGGGAAATTTCAAGGAGGGAAAGGAGCAGTTTTCTCTTGTCCTGCAAAAAAAAAAAGAAAGTTCGTACATTTCAAATATTCAGTATTGCCATTTCAATCAGCAGTTTTGAACCCACTGGAAAAATGTGCTCAAATACCTACATGACCTATTCCATTAAAGATGCATCCACAAATATCTTCAAGACTAGAACTTCATAACAGTGAAACATCATACAGTGTGTTTTAAATCAGAGTACCTCTCTCCTGCTTCTAAAAAACCCGAAAGTTTGGGTTGAAGTTATATTTTGTGCTCTCTCTGTCTCCCTGCTATTTGTTTAAAAGATTTTTCTGATGAATGAAATCAAAAAGAAAAAAAAAGACCCACAAAAAAAAAAAAAAATCCAACAGCAAATAATTACACTTTAATGTGGATCCTGGAAAAAAAAAAAAAAAAATCCAACAGCAAATAATTACACTTTAATGTGGATCCTGGAAAAACCTGTCAAACTTTCCCAAGCAAGCACCTAAACCACCCTTGTTTTCAGCGACAGAGAACTGAAGTGAGTGGCTGAAATCTAGATGACAAGCCATCGACAGACATGGGCCAGAACAGTTGGCTTCCCCAGACTCCAGCATTTTTATACATACAAAAAAATATTCAATAAAAACATTTCCAAAGTATCTCTCCAAACAACATTGCAACATCCCATGAGCAAGATACAATATAATTATGCTAAATATTGGCACGTGCGGGATGCTTTCAATAATTAGCCATAATACTGGTTTTGGGAGGCAAGGCACATTATTCACAGTGAGTACAGGCAGAAAGATGCCTGAGGAAGCCTTAACTGCTGTGGGTGAGACACACATACCTGTAAATCTCACTACCTGATTCAAAAGCATCCCCTCTGGTGGTACTAAGTGGTATGTGAAAGCGTAAGTTCACAGTTACATCCCACCTGTGAACATCCTCAAAGATGCTAAATTTTACTAGCAGAGTTGCTCTTTGAGCCCTCAGACATGTATAGTCAAATTTTAGTCATCTTCCATGAACAAAAAGAAGGTAGAAGGGTCTTCTATGCCTTGGGAATGTCTTACCAGAACAGTCACTGAAGCATCCAGCTCACCTCCACAAGGGCAAACAAAACCTAGCCCAAAGGAGACAAGCACTGCCTTACATAAAAGGGTAAAGAAGGGGGAGGAGCAGATCCTCAATTCCTTCTTGTTTTAGATTTCCAGAACTCACACAGCTGTTACTGTTCCCACTTGCAGTATGAATTAACTATGCAAGCTTTTATATTCTGTGTCCATTGTTTTCCACTATAGCGTCTGGATATAGTTAGGATACATAAGATAAGCTACTAAAGCTTTGGAAGGCATGGTCATGAAAGATTAATTTAAACCTATGCTCTTCCTCTCTAAGACAGCATGATGGTAACACGTTCCTAGGAGGGTTGTGGGGGGGAAATAGATCGGCCTGTCATTTGTGAAAAACGTTCCTCTTCAGGATAATACAAATACAGCAAGGACTATACAATGCAGTGCCTGATCATTTTCCCCTCCTGCATAGAGCTTTCTTCAATAATAATTTTCATTCCAATAATTTCACTAGTGAAGCAGTTTCCACATGCAAAAGATAATAACAGCATTCCTAAACAGGAGTCTGATGACAACCAAGTTTTTCTTTCCCTAAACAAATATCCCAAGTTGGTAACAAAGCCATTTAGAGCTCTAAATGCAAAGGATATGAGCAGTTTATTAACGACATTCTTTGGACTCCTTTTTCACTGACATTGATAAAAGTCTTGTTTGAGATCTGCTGCATTTTTTAAGGACTAGAAGCAAGACTGTTTATAGAGATGCTGGTGAGAGAGTGCTGTTTGATGAATGCTGGAGACTATAGCTAGGTGTCAGTGCTTAGAAAATGAGGCAAGGACATGAGGTATTAATATTGTCAATGATCTCCTGACAGGAAAACAGATACTGTATTCACCGTCAGATTTAAATAGACATCAAGTGCATTAATGACAAAAGGGCAGACTTCAAACAAAGGGGGCTGTATGGTGCTGTGCTGAGCCAGTCTCCAAGTTGGCAATAACCTGATCTGAAAAGACACTGTCAGGGCTACAGACAGGCCTGGGATAGTGTGCGGTGACAGAAAACAGAGATGCTGACAGAGATACCGGTGCCATATTATGCCAAGTATATTCTAACACTGTCTCCAGTCCTAACTAAATCTGACATCATTTCCTATCGCTTATAGTATCCTCCACTGCTCTGGCAGAATATTTCTCCCCAGACATCATTACAAACTCCACTGTAGTTTTAAAGTTACTGGCAGGCCTGTGCTGTCGTGGAGGCTGGGTCTAGAGGCCTAAGGATAACCTCAGTCAATCTAAATTTGGAGTTTGCTGGAGAAGTGCTCTCATTTTCACTGATATCTCAGCTACTTGAGGTGATCTGAACGCTAAAGTGTGAGGAGCTGTCACCTTGAATAAAATCCTTAAAGTAAAGACGCTCTGTTCCCGGGATGTTCAGCAAAGATGTCGGACAGTCTGGCAGCAGGAAATGAAATCCAGCTGCTGCTGCTCGCCTGGGGATAAAGGTGCTTGGGCTAGTGACAGTTAAAGTCAGCTGAAATTTTTGAAATCCTGCAGCCTACAATTGTTTAAATTAAGGAAGTGTTGTCTCCGCAGAGATTCCCTACCCAGGCACACAGCTGTGATTCGATTGCCAGGCATATTACACATGCTGCTCAGAGAGCCTTGATAAAAGCACAGTTGAAAATGTTGCCATGAGACCTTGTTTATCATGAAGGTTATTTGTAAAACAATAATCTTGCTCATAAATTAAATGCAGTGACTGGCACGGTTATTTGTTTTGCTTTGTTTTTCCTCTTTATGTTCCACCTCCCTTTGGCAACTACAGAAAGCTCAGAGAACTGCAAAATGTTTGTGTGCTGCAATGAGAATTCTGATTCTAAGATATGTCACATGTGAATTTAGGAAAGCTACTACTTTTTTCTGCCTATCTGCTATGGTATTTTTTCCTTGCAGGGCTGGGAATTCACTTGTTATTTTGCATGTAGACAAGGGAAAGAATGAGGGGAAAACAATACATCTGTGGCTGTTCTTGTGTTTTTAATTAAAATATCCAGCACTGGCCATAATAAGCTAAGTATACCCCCTATACATCAAAACAATACACAGCATCCAGAATGAGGTTTCTGCTCAAGGTTCTTAAGGAATGACAACACAAGGTCTCTTGAGGGATCATCTTCCCTGAATGAGGCTTCTAATTTTTCTTAAGTAGCTGATTCTACCATCACCACAAGCTGTTAGAACTATAATTATGAAAAAAAACTGCATTGGGAAGAATAATTTTTAAATTCACTCTTTATCTTTTAAATGTTTCCATCCTTCGGAATGGATGTTCTAATTACGCTGGGTAAGTAATGACCTCGCAGTTGCTTGCATGTGTTGTGGTATCAGTCTTTCTTCACAAACACATTGTAATGTTAGCAACACAAGCCTTTCCTTAGCTGAGGAAAAACCTAGTTATCCAAATAAATAAATACATACATGTATATTCAAGTGTGTGAAGAAGTTCAAGTCATGTTAGCTCCTTTTAAATTTGGCATATTTTGCAGAGAGCTATGGTGCTTTTAGACCTCTATACACTTTGCTAGAGCAAAAAAAAGGTTTGCAGATGCATTATAGTAGAAGTGGCAAAAACAAGTTGCAATGGGAAGTGTTAGACCTGTAGATGATACAGCCTATGTTACAGGTCAAAATTCATCTCAAGCTAACAGTGATCTAAGGGAATTGCTGTCGGGTAGCATCTTGTTGCCTTTTTCCTACCACCTTAATACCCCACATTAAATAAAAAACCACCTCTCAGTCGTCACAACTTAGGCAGCTTCTAGCAACACAGCTTCCTTCAGTAGCATTCAGTTTTCTTTAAAAAGTAATTACTAACCAAGCCAAAAAATTTTGCCACCCCCATCAAAACCTATTGCCACATCTGCCCAACATCCCCACCAGGCACCCATTTTAACATCAAATGTTATTAATAAGTCCCTCTGCAAGTGAAGCAGCAAAGTATTCCCAATTACATGTGTTTGTCAAAGACTGGTCTGCAGTATCCATCAGGGAGTAAGTTGCAGTTACCAGCCTTCTGCCTGTCTTCCACATGGACTAACCACAGGGCCTGCTCCTAGGAGCTGTGGTCAGATAAAGTGTAGCACTCCATACACAGCCTCAATATTCTAGTGGAATTCCACTTCACCTAACTTTAATTAGAGCACAGCACCTAAATCCTCCACTGCCAATTTATATTTGATCCATATTCATCTCTTTCTGCACAACCTGCTGTTGCATAGTTTTGCTATGGGCTATTAAACAGCTGCCATGTTCCACCAAGAAGCTGGGTGCATTTCAGTGTGGTTATACTACCAATCTGTAAATTGTTTTGAGACCCTTCAGGATGAAATATCAACGCCATTATCATTTTTTTCATAGGCACTTGGGCATATTCTACAATTAATGAACAGAAGCTGTGAAATTCCCTTAAATATTAATATAAACTTCCTATAAAGGAAAGTAATCCCCTACTGACAACATTTAGAGGAGAATAAATACCTATCTATGAACAATTTAAAGTCTACAATGCTACTGATTTAGGCAAAACACCTCCACGAGTCAAGTTAATTTAAAACTCTTAAAAATCTTTTTATCTAAGGGATATGTAAAGAAGGTGGGGAAGCAAAAAAAAAAAAAAAAAAGCAAAAAAGCAAACCCTTTTATACAGGAGTTTGGTAAGTTTTCAGTTTGTATTTATCTACCTGGAAATTCTAACTTTAATTCATTGTCTAGTTGACAACTTATTTTCAGTTTCTTTTGGTGAAACAGAATAACAGAATACTTGTTTCTATTGAATATGATCCAGCCTATG